TTTTCGCACGTCCAACTCGATCCATCAAGCTATACAGAGTACGATGCTGCTGTTATAGGTTCGTGTCTAAGTCAGGAGTACTAGAGTCAGCACGGGGTTATAACCCTCAATCTCAACAAGAAGTGTAGTAGTACTGACGCTAGCACTGATGTCGCATTTGTGAACGATGATGCGGACTAAACCAGTGCTAGGGCTCATATCGTTTCGATCTCAAAAAGAAACGTTAATACGGGTTTAACTATTTCAGGTAAGTACATGCATGGGTACCATAGCAAGCTGTGCTTGACTTGTTTACCGCACACTCATCTCGGGCACACTATACCCGCTGATTATATTTCGGTCTGAGGCTGTGTTTCCTTGATCTCTAGTATACTATTGTTGAAGGTGCTATGCCTATGCTAGGAGTGTTAATGCTAGTAACCGTACTTGTTAAGACCACTAGGTAGTAGACTACGATGCGGCCTGTGCGTACATGTATGACATGTAAGCTTAGTGTGCCGTCATTGACCTCTAAGGGGATATTAGGAAGCTCAAGATTAGAGAAAGGTATATTTAAAAACAGCTGAAGATATGTCATGCATTTAGGCGACATATGCCATTGTTCAGGATAGGTCTGTTAGAAGTGATGCGCCTCAGCTAAAACTCCTTTTTCTAGTAGTCATACTTGCTAAATCCAGTAAGTAGGAAGCATCAGAGCGGTCTGTACATGCATGTAGGAAGTAATAGCGCACTATGCAATCTTAACGTATATGAGGAGTTTATTAAACAAAAGAGTTTAATAGCGTGTATCGAATAAAAGCTAAATATCTACTACCGCTTTGCGCTCATTAATTTTGGATTTTTACGACATATGCAATGTCTAGTTTTAGTTCAGAAATTGCAGAGTATCATCTGCTTAGCAGAAAGTAAGATTTCCCAGCAGTCAACAAGTCATGAAAGCTAAGCAAATTACTTTTACAGTACTAATAGTTCAGAAATATATCCTGCATCCTATATATCAATGTAGTATACAATGTGGGCATGCGAGTATATCAGCTAAGGTGATCCTGCCTCATCCGGCAAGTACGGTTTTTGTCTAACTATCTTCACGTTGTTACTGCTACGACTCGTGCTTTTTCAGTTTATGTGGTGAGGATAATAGGCAATGCCTTTGAAAATCCTATTGATCACGTGTAAAAGCACATATAAAAATTTACCACTTGCAAAATAATATTGGCAAACAGTGATAAGCATTGCTTTTTTACAATTGCTTTTTTAGAATTCAGAGTTGGAGGGAAGAGAGGTGACACATGTAATTATTCAAGCATTGTTTGTACAACTGAAGGAAAGTGGTATCCACGACTGACTGTGGAAGGTTGTCACACTGTTGTATGGCACGTTGCGTGAAGAATTCATTGCGGAGGTTTAGCTTGGACATCTTCGTGCACAGCTTCATTGTGTGCCCACGGAGATGAGGCGAGAGGTACCACTGAAACATATCCTCAAAGCATTATCCTTTA